ACATTTTGGTGTTTAGAAGAAACTTCCGATTTTTTTAGTCAAGGAAAGTCATCTAGAATTTTGAACGGAAAATATTTCAACCACTTCATCGAACCTTGGCCTTCCCAAGAACTCTTCATATACTTCGATAAGAATTTAATCGGTCAGAGAATATAACAATGATTTTCGGTTAAAAAGTAGGAAGAAACATTTGACATTTTTTCAAGAATTCGGCAGGAGAATACGACACCCACAAAAAAAAAATCGATATACTTAAGAATTCAATGAGGCTTCAGTCTGAATTCGATACCAAATTCGATCCAGAGAAACACAAGCAACTGAGGCGAAAATGGGAATCAACATCAAACTTTGCCATAAAACCATAAAACTTTCGATCCTTCCAAAAAATTTAGATTCTTCAGATTTTCATCCAAAATTTAGGACAACCACTTCACATGATTTTGCTCATCCCAAAGATTTCCTGGAGAAATCGGTGAGAAATTCGGAACAAACATCAGATTTGTATTGAAAATTTCGGTTTACGAACACATCAAACAATTCCACACGACTTTGGCTCTTCCCAAGAACTCTTTTCAGACCATGCTAAGAATTCTACCCCATTTTCATTTTCATCATCCCAAACACGAATTATATTCAGGCTTGGTAGAGAATTCGGTCAGAAAGTCGACAGAAACATGAGATTTTCGAATTATCGAAGATTTCAGTGGAGGAACACATCAAAAAATCCAGATGACTCTTCCTGAGAATTATGTTTAAGATTCGACAGAGTTCGGCCCGTAGGTCGAAAGAAACCCTATAAAACTTTTGATCCTCTCAACTAATTTACCTTTAGATTTTTATCCGAAATTTCGGACAATCACATCCCATGATTTTGATCAACCAAGGATGAATTTTATGCAGACTTCGTGGAAAATTCGGTTAGAAAGTCGAAAAAAACATCAGATTTAATTTGGAGATTCTCAAGAATTCTGTTTAGACTTCAGACAGAATTCTATAAAAAAAGTCGGAAAAACATCAGATTTTCATACGACACTTCAAAGATAAGGTTTCAGGAAATTTCGGTAAGGGTCATTTGAAGAGAAAGCGGATAGTTCTTCAAATGACCCTTACCGAAATCTCGAATAAAAACCTGATGTTTCCTGAAACTTTCCCTTCGAAGCGTCGTATGAAAATTTGATGTTTTTTCCGACTTTCTCATAGAATCTTCTGGCTTTTTGGTCGTATTTTTTTTTTTGGAATTTCGAAAATAATATAGACTTCAGACAGAATTATATCAGAAAGTAGGAAAAAACATCAGATTTGCATACGACACTTCGAAGAGTAGGTTTCAGGAAACCTCAGATTTTTTTTTTTTCGAAATTTCGTTAAGAGTCATTTGAAAGAAAGCGGATAGTTTTTCAAATGACCCTTACCGAAATCTCGAATAACAATCTGATGTTTCCTGAAACTCTCTCTTGGAAGTGTGGTATGAAAATCTGATGTTTTTTCCGACTTTATGATAGAATCCTGTCTAAAGTCTATCTTATTTTCGAAATTCCTAAAAAAATACTATCAAAAAGCTAGAAGAAATTAAAAAGTTCCATGCAACGTTTCAGACATTTGTCAGATGTTTATCCAACATTTCGGAAGTTTTCTTTATAGAAGTAAGGATATTTTTAGAAGTAATTGTGAAGAAGACTTGCTACCTATGCCGACTTTGAGGTCTCCTTAAAAAAGTTTTTGAAGTCTTCATGAGGACTTTAGTGATTCTTTGGAAAAATTTCGAAAAAAAATCAAAAAATTTCACAAGCCACACAAAATTTATGTTTTATTTCAAATCTTTTTTGTTATAAACATTTGACGATTTGTTGTTGGTGCGGTCATTTACCCGGCTAGATATTGAAATTCTTTTCATTTCACTCACCCCGAAAAAAATGAACAAAATTCATTACCTCTCCCCTCCTTGTCATTAGCGACATGCCACATGAGGCGGGTAATAAATTCATATGAAGATTTTTGTCCGACACTCAATGACCGAACGTCATCTAACGATAATGACTGTTGTAATAGTACTTCCAACTATCTTCTATCTCTCGTTTTCAATCTTTTATCCATCAATAATATTTACAATGGTAACAAAAGTCACAAAGTCATGTCAAATGGTCAGTTGGGGGAGGGGGATGAGGAGGAAGCCATGCAATGTCATGTGATATGATGCTGACAAAATGGGCAGACAGATAGATAGTCAGTCATTTGGTCATTTGTTTAGGTTTTGAAATACAACACCCAATGACACACACACACAGAACATGTAATGGTCAGTTATGCATGAGAATTCAACCCCCAATATTTTTGAGAATTGAGAATTATTTTCCGTTAAAATAATCAAACCACCCCCATTAGAAGTAGGCTAGTATTTTGAATATTTTATCTTTTTTTTTTTTTTTTTGAAAAATTAATTTTTTAAAACTGGCATATCTTCCTACCTCATCATCCATCTAATGGCTCCGTGACATGGTGTGGTTGTAATAATTAATCTTCAGCTTTAGCTTGCCACCACTTTAGTGTACCCAAGACTTTAGGGAAGCCCTAGCATAGAGTAACTCATCTCACCCCAATTTTACAGATTCAGAGCAAAATAAGAGTTTGTGACAGGGACGTGCAGAGAAATACATTTTGAAACCACTTCGGGGAGCAATTTTACTTTTTTCATATGATTTATACAAAAAAATGGCAGAAAGGTGTAACCTCTTCGAAAGAGAGTCCCAGGTCCCCACCCTGTGTACGTCCCTGCTTGGTGGTGACTTGAATTACAAAAAAATCTACATTCATTTTCCTCTTCTAATCATCTATCTAACATACCCATTTATCTTCTCCGCATTACATACGAGGGATGATGATCATGCAATCGAGCCAGCACTAATTTTTGGCATCTGTACACACTCCATAAAAAACAGTTTTACCAAAAATTCAACCCCCCTCCTCCTTCCCGACGTCCTTTTGTTTTCCTCGTGCGGAAAATGTTTTATGTGAAAATAAACAGATTAAAGTGATAATAAATTTCAGGATTTTCCATTTCCCACTTATCAGTGGGAGGTTAGGCAAGGATGGTGGGTGATGGTGCAATTCCAACTGGTTTCATTCAATCGCATTTGGCGATTTATTTTTGGGTATTTGAGATAAGAGCGAAACACTTAATGGCTGTTTGAACAGATGACGAGCGGTGACGCATGGCATGGCGGCATGCATGCCATTATCTATATGGTCATCTCTCGATGGGATATGGAGAAAGATCTGGAATCTTTTGGTGCTTTATATTCATCATGGGAGGAAAAATAAGGTCTAGGTCTATAAGACCTCCAAGTCTTCTATAGGAAGATCACCAGTGACATGGGAGGAAAAATAAGAATACCCCCAAGTCTTCTGTTAGAACATCTCCAGGTCTTCTGTTAGAAGACTTCCAAGTCTTCTGTTAGAAGACCTCCAGATCTTCTATATGAAGACCTCCAGGTCTTCTATTAGCAGACTTCAAAGTAGAAGTCTTCCAACTCTTCTATAAGAATGCTTCGTAATCTTCTAAGAAGACTTCGAAGTCTTTCCTTAGAAGTCTTCAAAGTCTTCTCTTAGATTCTCCAAAGTCTTATTTTAGAAGTCTTCAAAGTCTTATTTTAGAAGTCTTCAAAGTCTTCATAGTCTTCAGAAGACTTCATAGTCTTCAATAAGACGACTTGCAGGTCTTCTATAGGAAGACCTCCAGTCTAATATAAGAAGATTTTCAGGCTTTCTATAAGAAGACCTCTAGGTCTTCTATAAGAAGACTTCTAGGTCTTTTATAAGAAGACCTCCAGGTCTTATATAACAAGTCTTCCAGGTATTCTATAAGAAGACTTCCAGGTCTCCTATAAGATTTCCAGGTCTTCTATAAGAAAACCTCCGGGTTTTCTATAAGCAGACCTCCAGGTCTTCTATTAGCAGACCTCCAGGTCTTCTATAAGCAGACCTCCAGATCTTCTATAAGCAGACCGCCAGGTCTTCTATAAGAAGACTTCAAGGTCTTCTATCAGAAGACCTCCAGGTCTAATATAAGATTTTCAGGCCTTCTATAAAAAGAAAACCTCCAGGTCTTCTATAAAAAGTAAACTTCCAGGTCTTCTATAAAATGATATCCAATTCTTCTATTAGAAGACTTCCAAGTATTATATACGAAGACCTCCAGGTCTTTTATAAGAAGACCTCCAGGACTTCTATAAGCAGACCTCCAGGTCTACTATAAGCAGACCTACAGGTCTTCTATAAGCAGACCTCCAGATCTTCTATAAGTAGACCTCCAGGTCTTCTATAAGCAGATCTCCAGGTCTTCTATAAGCAGACCTCCAGGTCTTCTATTAGAAGACCGCCAGGTCTTCTATAAGAAGACTTCAAGGTCTTCTATCAGAAGACCTCCAGGTCTTCTAAAAAAACCTCCAGGTCTTCTATAAGAAGACCTCAAAGTCTTCTTTAAAAAGTTCTCCAATTCTTCTATTAGAAGACTTTCAAGTCTTCCCGTAGAAGTTTTCCAACTCTTATCTAACAATACTACCCAGACTTCTATAAGAATGTTCCCGAAATCTTTTAATAGAAGACTTCCAGGTTCTCTATAAGACTTCTATAAGACTTCTATTAGAAGATTCCGGGAACATTCTATAAAAGGCTTTGAAGTCTTATCTAAGAGGCTATAAGCGGTCCACAATAAAAAAAACCTCAAAAGACCTTCTCTTAAATAAAAATTTTGAAATTCTTTCTTAAAAAAGCCTTTGAAACCTTCCCAAAAGAAACATCTCAAAGTCTTCTTACAACATTCTGAACAACTGTTCTCATAAAAACCTCGACCTTCTACAATAAACAAAGACAAAACAAAAAAATTCTAAAATTTTCAAATCTGAAGGATTTTCGAACAAGGACCCTCAGGGGCCATAGTAGCAACTGTAGTAGTTTTATAGTATTTATCATTGTTTTTTGTTTTGTTGTAATAGTAAACTTACCTCTTCTTGGTTTTGCCGACATTGTAAAGTTCAACATGTTTGAATGCAGCATAGGCGGCCATTTTTTTCTGTGTTTCTGTTGTTGGCAAGGGGGTTGGGCGGGAGTAGTTAGAAGACTTTTTTTTGATTTTAGCAAACAGATGTTTTTTTTTCGAGAATAACAAGGACACCACAACGGCGAAGAGAAGCTTTTGTTTCGGTTGTTGTTAAAGGTTATCACGGGAGCAGTAGCAGCAACAACAATGGAAGTGTTGCCAACTTTGTTGTAATGCAGATATAATCAAATCTCTGGGTGAGTAGCAATAATAACAACAACAACAGCCAGCAGAGAAATTGAGTAATGTTATGGAGGAGAGCAAAAAATAAAAAAAAAAAACGAGATAAAGAAGAAAAATAAAGGAAATTATCAAGGAAATGAAGGAAAAACTATTTGACATTTGAAAAGGGTCTTTTTTAGTGGCTGGAGAAAAGCTGGGGCGAAATTGATGAAAACTGTGAAATTATTCTAAACTTTTTTGTTTGTGGAGGCAACTCAAGGGAGAGAAGAGAGAAATGGGTAGTGGAGAAAAAATCAATAAACAATGATGTTCGCCAGGGCATCCTTTTCTGTGGGACATGACGATAGCAGAGGCAGTAGATGAAGACAGTAGGGTCTGAACAAAGACAACTTTATTTAGAAAATTTGATACAAAAAACTGGGGAATATTTTCGAGGTTTTTTTTAACAAAATTGAAACCAATATTTTTTTGGGACTAGGGAATATTGTCGGGGTTTTTAACAAAATTGAAACCAATATTTTTTGGCATCTACGATGGAAATGGAGATTTCTTGTCTTTGGTGATTTTTAGTGAAATTTGATGAGGAATATTTTCGTCCTAGACGTCATCCTTCTAAAGGGGGGAGGGAATATTGGGGAACTCTATTTAGCTAAGGTACCAAAAGGAGTGGGCTGATATCTATCATCTCCACATCAAATCTTGTGGTGATAAAATGATTGGGATGTGCCAAGTTTAAAAGGAATTCGATGCATATTTCGCTTTTATAAGCTTCAAAGGTGTTGAACAAGTTTATCTCTGGGGGGGGGGGGGGGGGTGTGCACCGATATTTTTCATCTTCACAGCAGTTGTTGTGTTAGGAGAAATATTGGGTTGTGTGAAATTTGAAGAGAATCGGATGCTTATTTTGTTTTTTATGAGAGATATAACTATTCAAAATTTTGACCCCTTTATGGGGGAGCTACCTGAAGAAGTGGTCTGTTATATTCCATCTTCCCACCAGATCTTGTGTTGCGCTGCTCATTCCTGATCTTATAAGCTTAAAGATTACTCAAACTTTTGACCCCTATGTGGGGGAGGTACCAGAAGGGGTAGACCGATACGTTCCATCTTCACAACAGATATTGTCTTAGTAAAAATATTGGGTTGTGTGAAATTTGAAGAGAATTGGACTAGTACTTCACATTTTATAAGAGTTATAAATATTCAAAATTTTGACCTCTTTGTGGGGAAGGTACGAGAAGGAGTGGTCCGATTTAATCCATTTTCAAAGCAGATACGGTATTAGCAGAAATATTGGGATGTGTGAATTTTGAAGGGAATCTGATACGTATTTACCATTTTCTATGTGTTATAAATATTCAAAAATTTGACCCCTTTATATGGAAGGTACTAGAAGGGGTAGGCCGATATTTTCCGTCTTTACAACATATATTGTTTTAGTAAAAATATTGGGTTGTGTGAAATTTAAAGAGAATCGGATGCTTATTTCGCATTTTATAAGCGATATAATTATTACAAATGTTGACCCCTATGTGGGGGAGGTACCAGAAGGAGTGGCCCGATTTATTCCAACTCCACAGCAGATACGGTATTATTAAAAATATTGGGTTGTGTGAAATTTAAAGGGAATCTGATACGTATTTAACATTTTCTATGCGTTAAAAATATTCAAAAATTTGACCCCTTTATATGGGAGGTACTAGAAGGGGTAGGCCGATATGTTCCATCTTCACAACAGATATTGCCTTAGTAAAAATAATGGCTTGTGTGAAATTCAAAGAGAATCGGATGCTTATTTCGCAATTTATAAGCGTTATAATTATTCAAAATTTTGACCCCTTTGTGGGGGAGATACCTGAAGGTGTGGGCAGATATATCCCATCTTCACACTAGATCTTGTGTTAATAAAAATATTAAGATGTGCGAAATTTGAAGACAATCGGACTGTTATTTCACATTTTAGAAGAGTCATGAATATTCGAAGTTTTAACCCTTTGTGGGAGAGGTAAATGAAGGAGTGCGTCAAATTTGTCCATTTTCGCACCGGACCTACTGAAAAAAATATTACGATTTGTAAAGTTTGCACAAAATTGGATGATAATTTCCTGCTCGAAAGGGTCAATTATTTTCTGTGAAAATTTTGACTTTTTGAGGGGGAGGTACCAGAAGGAGTGGACTGATATTGCTCATCTCCAAACTTGATCTAAGTTTGTTAATAATATTACAATGTAGCAAGTTTAGACAAAATCGGATACTTCCTCCGAGAATTTTCGTGCGTAAAATCTATCCAGACAGAAGGACGGATACCCCTAGATCGCCACCAAATGTCCTGAAACAGATTCGGTACAAAAAGACCTAGGGTCTATGGACGTTTTTTTGGATGAGGCAATCTTTGGTCGTATTCAAATGATATATACCCTCTGTGGCTATATGGCTGAGGGTATATAAAAGTAAAGAAAGACGGATACCCTTAGATCGCCACCAAATGTCTTGAAACGGATCCGGTGCAAAGAGACCTGGGGTCTAAGGACGCTTTTTTTATATAAAATCAATCAATGGAATTTATTTTGTTTTCGAATATTTTAAAAAAATATTTTTTTTGGTCTCAAAATTCTCTCAATTTCATTTTTTTAAATTTTGATTTTTTTTTTAACTCCCGTTAAAAATTAAAGTTGCTTTCAAAATAGATATTTTTCCTTTAGAAAAAAAGTTGGTTACAAAAATCCTGCCCATACTGTATTTATATATATTATTTCAATTCTATATATAAAACGAAGATGAATTCCAACACAGAGTAGGTTGGCAGAGTACCCCAAAAAGGACACGCATTGCAGAGAAGAGCAATAACACAAAAAAATGTATAAATCCTCCACAAACATTTTAGGGGAGCCCACACAACAAAGAGAACACACACAAGGACCAAATGAGGTCCAACAACAATAACAACGGATTCATTTCCAATGGTGTTTGGGGCCGCGAAAGAAAAAAAAAACAGATTTGTTTGACTGCTGTTTGTTTTACTCTCAGGAGAGAACGTATAAAGGATGTCGCCGCAGCCACATGAAAGGATGCTATGGCAATGGGAGCCGCCTCCTCTGCCCGAGTATAGAACTTTGCATACATATAGACACACAATCTGGGTATAGATTCGAATTTATTTTATGCAATACCTACAAAAAGTTATGAGTAGGGATGAAAATTAATTAGAAAAATATTCCACAGTTTTCAAAATTTTGACAACCTTTCTCCAGCCATTAAAAAGTCCTTGTTATTCCAAATTCGAAAATGGGGGAAAACTCACAATTTTCTTTTCAAGAGCAGGTTCGTTTTACCACAATTTTTCACAGTTCGTTATTATTTTTTTTTCGTTTTAGAAATTTAAAATTTTTACTGGAAGAACTTTGTTTTTTCACCGAAGAAGAAGAACTTTGTTATTTTAATTTTTTTATTTTTATTAAAAATTATTAATTTTTATTTTCTTGGTTTGGTAGTATTTTCTCATTGACACACAAAGAATAACAGAACAAAAAAGCTTAGGTTTTCTTCTTTTTTAGTTTTCAAATAAAAAACACCACGGCGCTTTTCTTTGCTTTGTTTGGAAAGACGTTGTGAACGGCGCTAGTTTAAGTTTGAGACTGAACTGTTTTTGGAAAAGTGGAAAACATTTTATATTATCGATCCAGCAAAACATAATGGCCCAACAACATGCTGCACAACAACGACAACAAGAAAGCGGCAGCAGTGGCACTACACAACACCATCCTCATCATCATCGCCAGCCAGCCAGCCACCACCATCGTCGTCGTCATTACCACTGTCTAAACAAAAACAACAACAACCACAACATAGCCAACCAAACATTAGCCCACGTACGGAGAGTGTAGTGTAATAAAAACCAACCCAACCCCACTCATTGCACACAGCAATTGCGAGAGCAAAGAGAGTTTACTCATCCATGTCCGGAGAGTAAAAACCAAAAAAATTTCAATAACATTACCTCAACTGCAACAAATAAAAGACAGACAGACCCACACAGGCACAGTGTTGTGAGTTCAAACAAACTGAAGAGTGTTAATTTAAAAGAGCAGAAGGTCTCATAGACTAGCAGAAAATTTAAGCGGCGGCCAGATAATCCATCTAGATTCTAGAAGAACAGATGATCTTTTCTATATAAGACATGAAGATCTTCTCAAAAAAAAAGTATGAAAGTTTTCTTATGGGAGATTAGGACGTCTCATAGAAGAGCATTTTTCAAAAAGTTTTCTGAGTTATATTTGAGTAGAAGGCCTTCATCTGGTTGGAGAATAGCAGGAGGTCTTATTCAGCTCGGAGAAGAGCAGAAAGTTTACTTCTGCTTAGAAAACGAGCAGAAGCTACTCTCATGAGAGAGCAGAAGTTCCATTCATAGAGCAGAATTTCATCTCAAAAAAGAGCAGAAGCTCCTCTCGCAAATAGAAGAGTAGAAGCGAATTGCTGAATGTCTCCTAATAGCAGACCATAAGGTTGTCTATTAGAAGGCCGGAAGGTCTTCTCATAGAAGAAGGTCTTCTCGGAGAAGGGAAGAAGGTCTTTTCGGAGAACAGAATAAGGTCTTTTCCGAGAAGAGCAGTAGGTCTTCTCACAGAAGAGCAGTAGGACTTCTCGGAGAAGAGCAGTAGGTCTTCTCAGAGAAGAGCAGCAGGTCTTCTACGAGAAGAGCAGCAGGTCTTCTACGAGAAGAACAGCAGAAGGTCTTCTCGGAGAAGAGGAGGAGGTCTTCTCAGAGAAGAGGAGGAGGTCTTCTCGGAGAGGAGGAGGTTTTCTCGGAGAAGAGGAGGAGGTCTTCTCGTAGAAGAGGAAGAGGTCTTCTCGTAGAAGAGGAAGAGGTCTTCTCGTAGAAGAGGAAGAGGTCTTCTCGTAGAAGAGGAGGAGGTCGTCTCGGAGAAGAGGAGGAGGTCTTCTCGGAGAAGAGGAGGAGGTCGTCTCGGAGAAGAGGAGGAGGTCGTCTCGGAGAAGAGGAGGAGGTCGTCTCGGAGAAGAAGAGGAGGTCGTCTCGGAGAAGAGGAAGAGGTCTTCTCGGTGAAGAGGAGGAGGTATTCTCGGTGAAGAGGAGGAGGTCTTCTCGGTGAAGAGGAGGAGGTCTTCTCGGTGAAGAGGAGGAGGTCTTCTCGGTGAAGGAGAGGAGGTCTTCTCGGTGAAGAGGAGGAGGTCTTCTCGGTGAAGAGGAGGAGGTCTTCTCGGTGAAGAGGAGGAGGTCTTCTCGGTGAAGAGGAGGAGGTCTTCTCGGTGAAGAGGAGGAGGTCTTCTCGGTGAAGAGGAGGAGGTCTTCTCGGTGAAGAGGAGGAGGTCTTCTCGGTGAAGAGGAGGAGGTCTTTTCGGTGAAGAGGAGGAGGTCTTCTCGGTGAAGAGGAGGAGGTATTCTCGGTGAAGGGGAGGAGGTCTTCTCGGTGAAGAGGAGGAGATCTTCTCGGTGAAGAGGAGGAGCTCTTCTCATAGAAGAGCTGATGGTTTTCTCATAGAAGAGCTGAAGGTTTTCTCATAGAAGATCTGATAGTCTTCTAATAGAAGAGCTGATAGTCTTCACATAGTAGAGCAGAAGATCTTTTACGAGAAGAGCAGAAGGTATTCTCGGAAAAGACCAGAATGTCTTCTCATAAAAGAGTAGAAGGTATTCTACGAAAAGACCAGAATGTCTTCTGATGAAAGACCAGAAGGAGGTCTTCTCATAGAAGACCAGGAGGCCAGGAGGTCTGGTCTCTAAGAAGACCAGAAGGTCTGGTCTCATAGAAGACCAGAAAGTCTGGTCGCACAGAAGATCTTTTGGTCTTTTCTTATAAAACCCGCAGTTCTTTCCCTTAGAAGACCAGAAGTTCTTCCATTAAAAAACTACAATGCATTCTTATAGAAGAGCATAAGGTCTTCTCAGGGAGAATCGAAGGAGTTTTTTTTTCACGACATTTTTTTTAATGGAATCAAGAAAGTTTGAGTCAAGACACTGTGTCTTGAAATGAAGATGTTGCTGTTTACATTTTCCACCAAAAGTAAAAAGAATGCAGAGATGATGAGTACGATACTAATTTCTCTCTGGATCTCACTCCACAACATAGAGGGAGAGAGAGAGAGCTGTTGTGTGAGAGAATTCAATTAAGAATTACGGTAATTATTTTGGGATGGATTTTTTAACAGCTGTTGTGGAAGTTTTCCTATTGCCGAACAGACACACACACACAGACTTCAAATGCACAACAAATGTGTTGCACAGAGTTTAAGCAACATGTTGCCGGCCAAACAAACATAGGCCAGATACAACGAGAGGTTGTGTGAAACACCGAATTAAAAAAGGCGCCTTACTAAATACCTACTTGTGAGGAAAAACAAAAGCATTTTCCCTGGGAAATATGTTGCCAACAAAAATACTTTTGTTTTGGAAACATTCGAGAAGAAAAACCACAACAACATAACAGAGCATCAAAATTATGTTAAAGCATGAGACGACGTGAAAAAAGTGCATTCTCAGCATAAAGAGGTTAGTAGTGGTACTAAAAAACAGAACTGAAATACTGGAATAGTTTTACAGTTGAATGTGTGTATATTATGGGAGAGAGAAAAATGTTGTTCTATTTCTGTTTTCGTATTTTGTTGTCTCGTTTAGTGTCATTCCAGAACTAAATTTTCATGGCACCAGAGCAGAGCAGAACAGAAATCTTTTTCTAATGACAGTTTAATGGCTTTTTGTTGTAAAGAACGAATGTGCAGAAATATGAAAATAATATTTTGGAGGGGGTCGAACGACTTCGTTATACATAATATTTGAGATACCTATTGGAGGGGGGAAATAATGTTGAGCATGGGTATGGATGCAGTGTAACTTTTCCCCAAAAATTTTCCGAGATTTCTTTGGAAAACTTTTATTGCGAAATATTTTCACTTCGTGCATCTCTTTGTTTTTATTTTTTTGGGGAGGAGAAATGAATTTATCAACAATCTGTCATCATTACTAATGACAGCTGTCAGAAATGGTCCAACACTAATGACAATTTTAGGAAAAAATGCAGCAGAATTATAACTTTTCGTTCTGATACATACAGTGTTAAAATCGAAGAAGAAATTTTTTTTTTCGAAATAAATAGAAAAGCTAAGGCCTTTAGAGGACAGGACATCCTTTATCAGCGTAAAATTCTAAGTCGATTTAGCGATGTGCGTCTGTCTGTCTATTGTAACCAAGCTACCTTTCGAACGAATTGAATATAGAAGGCTAAAATGTTGAACACGTGTGTATTTTCACAGTAGGAAGGCTATGTTCGTAAATGTCCCATGTCGGTCCAAATGTTCGTATATCCCCCATATAACGGTACCACACAATATTCGGTATTTTGATGATTTTAACGGCATTATTCACTTTAATTGTTTCAAAGTTTGGAGCTCGTAATCGATACTTCAGCCTATGACAAAAAATTGTCTTTGTAGGTCCATGTCTTCGTATGGCCCCCATATAACGGTACTTCCTAATATCCGGTATTTTGATGATTTTGCCCACACTTTTTACCGAAATTGTTTAAAATTTTGTGTTTCAAGTTCGTAATGTGTACTACAGCCCATAACACGTCCACGACTTCGTATAGTCCCCATACAACGATACATTCCGATATTCGGTATTTTGATGATTTTAGCGGCATTATTCACTGGAATTATTTCCCATTCGCATTTGAAGCTCGGAATCGGTATTTCAGCCTGTGGCAAAAAAGCACTTATGATAGACCACGACTTCGTATATCCCCATAAAAGGGGTTTCATTTGAGAGGTATTTTTCCATGAAATTTTTTTTAAGTTCTTCAAGTTTCTACTAAATTTTCTTAGTTCTTAGAACTTAGCTGCTCGTTTCTAATTGGGTATCCCCCTTACCGGAATGGTTTCTAAATACATTTCTATATACGCCGCTGGAACCGACGGATATCTTCAAATTTTTATACCTTCAGCCATATTGCCTCAGAAGGCATATAATATCATTTGTTCCTCATCGAAGTAACTAGCTAGTTTTAGGACATTTGAGCGATGTCCTTTTATCTGTTTTTGCTCACAATAACCCTGAAGAGAGTATCCGATTTTTTTTTCAAATTATACACCTAATAATATCCGTGTACAAAATTAGATCAAGTTCGGAGATGTGCAATATCGGTCCACTCATTCTAAAAGGACCTCGAAAGTTCAACATTTTTAAATATAAAACTGTTACAAAAATAAAAAAGTAGTTATCCGCTTTCGTTCAAAATTTCCAATCTCGATAGAGTGGAAGGCTCTTCCAATGCTTTCTGGATGTAAAAGCACTTTCAGCGGTCTCCAACAAATTGCAGACCTCTCAAAGTTCTTTCATAAGCCGAGGAAACCAGCCAAACAATATTTTCTGACATAAGAACTCTCTCTCTCTCAAGAGTAAAATGAACGAAAGACCACCAACGGTTCTTCTATAGATGGTAGATCTCCAAATGGTCTCCTACAGACAGGAGACATCTAAAAGTCTTCTATAGAAAAGACCTCTAAAAAGACAGACTGAAGACCTTCTACAAGACAGAATACCTTTTCCAGGACTTCCATAAGTGATGAAGCTCTCCCTGGTCTTTTAAATAAAAGAGGCTTACCAAATTTTATTCCTAAATAAAAGGCCTA